TTTTCAAGCCAGTTGAGATAATAGAATGTCCAGAAGGATGTAGTCCTACAGTCTATATCCTCTTTTGTATCTAATTGTTTTGCAACTGTCTTCATCAACAAACATAAAGGTTTAGTCATTTTCACTCCTGCCACCTAAAAAGGGGCAAAACTTATCTGATGTCATGTTTTTAAGTATATAAAACACAGGGGAGGAATTTGGCATAAAACAGGACAACTAATCTTGAAACCTATGTTTGTTAAACTATGCTGGAGATTTCTAGTAGTAGAAGTTTTGCTCCATTGATTTTGTCTTCCAGTCAGACTGAGAGAAAATGACACAAAGTTGAAGTTATATTAAAATCCTAAAAGATTTGGGCCAAAAATCCAACCGCTCCACTCCTGCTTTATAACACTTGTCACATTCACATACATTCATACACTCATGGCAGAGGATGCCATGCAAGGTGCCAACTGCTCATCAGTGCTTATGATGACGTTAAGCTCACCCATACACACTCACACACTGACAGCATAGCCATGGTTCAGTATCTTCTCCACTTCGACTGGGGAAGCGGAGTATCAAAACCAGTAACCCTCCAGTCACTAGCCGACCAATTTTAATGTGTATTGTGTAGGATCCTGCGGTGCAGTTGCCAATTTGAAACCCCTTGCCTCACCCCCATGTTCCAAGTGGGACGGTGAAACTACGGTGGCCACGAAAAAAAAAAGTTTGGTTTGTCCAGTCTCTGCTACTGTAGAAACACAGCAGCTTCCTCTGTAGATGAAAAATGGCTTGTTTTTATTGTTTGAATTAACATGCAGTTTTACTTCTTCAGACCTTTCAAAATGATTGAAATGGAAAAATCTGAAAACGCTCCTTGGTGGAACTGCTTAACACTCACTGACATTTGGAGCACGTAGAGATCGCAAATACTTCTTCATTCCAGGTTACAAGGTAAAAAGTTTGAAGACCACTGCTTTATATCAGCTCTTCCTAAGAGTAAACAGTCTAATCTGATCTGTTTGCTTATACTGCTGCACTATAGTACTCACTCATAGTCAATGTACAATAGAATTTATTGGCCCCTTTATAATCTGCAAGCAGGATTACATAAAACCTGAGACTTTCATCTGTCAAAATGACACTACTAAAGAGACAATGAATCTGTTCTGCACAGTATACAGTGAAAAGCTTGTGCTCAGACAAATAGGTAAAGGTACTTGACAGTGATCTGAAGACACAGGAAGCCAGCAGTCGCCACATTCCTCAGCTTGTTTCAAGGCATTTTCAGTAAACAAGTATGCATTGTGCATTTTTCCAGCTAGGTGACACATTCTTTGACTGATATGCTGAAGCAACAAACAATAGCAAGATGTGATGCAACCTCACTTCACTGTACTTAGGTAGAGAAAACTCAACTCAGAAGATGGATCACAAGACGTTGCTTTATTTATAACTCTACATTAAAAAATAAAGATTGATGAGTAATCATTAACATACATGGTATGTTGAAAAGCTTCACTCCCACACAGAATGTGCTTAGCACTGTGTGAAACATTCAAAGTATCTATCAGCTGATTAATTTTGTGTCTGTCTGAGACGAGCTGGCCAACAGGTTGTCTTTGACTGGAGACAGGGGCGCACCGATCTTGCAGGGAGTCATCTTGTGGGCATCTCTGAAAAACACAAGAGGTAGTGTTTTACATCTGTTTCATTAGAAACCATGTCACTGATTAAACTTAGTGGCATCTCAATGCCAGTTTGTTTACATAGCTTTCCATATCAAAGCTTGAGTGAGACTATGGTCTAAAACTATTTATCTTTCATTGACAGTGTTTGAACAATGTGAACCATCTGGTTTCTGCTTCAGTTGGGGTCTAAAACATTCTGCTGTGATAAACAGGTTGAACAAGGTGCAAAATATATTTAGCTATTGTCTTGTAAACTGACTATATTATTATACATTGTAAAATGACCTGATGTGATTTTTCCTACATTTGTCACAACAGGAAGGGGACATTTTGAAGGAAAGCAGAAATAAACTGAGGATTTATGAGCCCCTTTATAATCTGTAAATAATGCATTTGGATCAGTTGACCTGATGGACTAACGAGATTTAAAAAAAATAAATAAATAAAAAGGAGAGTGACGAGATTTTAATTAATGGTCTATAAATGCTCTGTGGAGCTTTGGTAAATTATTCAAGAATTCAAGGTTATTTTATTGTCATTTACAACACAAGACTGTAGAATGAAATTTTGATTTAGTTCCCTTTATGCTACTTTAAAAAAACTAAATAAAAATTTATTAATGAGATGTCTTGACTGAAGCTAGCAAAACAGAAACTTTCAACAACAACAACGGTATATGGAAATATTGATTCCAGGCCTTCACTACAGCAGCTGATTCAGTCCATTTTTAACAGGACAGGGGAACTCCTCATTGAAGTCACTCCTTGGGACACGGTGACACTTGAGATTTAACAGATACACTACTCACAATAAGTTAGGGATATTGTGAGAGACTCAGTGGATTTCATACATACGGTGTTTGTTTCACTTCAGAGATTTTTGGGATAGGGAGGCAATTGTATTGGGGTGATAGACACACCTCATTTTGTGTTTTCCACGTAATGGTCTCACTGTGTACAGTGTGCCTTACATATTGGGGCCAATACCAAAAAACTAAAAGACAACCTCTAATTATTCATGTGGCATCAATTATCACATTCTGTGGAGTAATTTAATATAAAGCTGGTTATGTCAGTAATCATTCCCAATAAATCAATCATCATACAGCATGAACTACTACCAATCAAATCATAAAAAATTAAACTTAACGGAACGAGCAGACGCCTCACCAATGGGCAATAGCGTGCTTTCCGGGATCATGGCAGGCAGTCAGAATGTTTGCATCGATGAACTGTGGTGTGTCTCAAAGTGCCTCAAAGCAGACTAGCATCAAGACATACAGAAACTCTTGCTAGTAGCTTGTGAAGACACCCAGGAGTGGAGCCCACGATGACAGACCGTATACGATTGAATCAGTACCATAGGCATCCATATGCATCAGACATCCGCTCTGACAATAGCACAACAACAAGTCTATGCACCGAATCTTTATGATGTGGAGCGGGTACTAGGGATATTCCGACAAACCATTCGCACAACCAACCTTTACAAAAAGACAAAGCATATTTAGGCTTGAACTAGCCAGACAGAAAGTTGCAGGTGACTCCCACATAACAGACACCAAGACAACAGCTGTGAACGATATTGCAGCTGACGGCAACCACAGCAACAATTGTGAGAATGACCAATGCAGCAAATAAAAAAACAACACAAACACATAACGTCCCTGTTCACCGTTTGAGATGGCGGGTTCACCTTGCACGAATGACTGGTCATAGCGTTGCTGGAGAAAGGCGTAGAGTGAAGCGGCATGACGCGAGTTGCACAATGGTCCACCACAGGGTTTCGCTCTTGGTGGGAAGGGATTGCAAATCAGATATGGAGAGGAGCATCTAACACCAGTCAGAGCGCAAAAACACCAGATTATGGTAATTGATAGCAAATATGGCACAGTCACTGCAACCGTATCTTACCAATCACGAAGGACATATAGAACACAATCAAATCATCCCCAATTCGCCAGCACACACAAAAACTTTACTGATCAAATGTGATTAATGCCATACCACACACCAATAATAATTTCGTGCCAAATAATTGTCACAAATAAAGCATCTGACAGTCAGGAATCGGAGTGCACATCATTGGTGAATTAAGCGCCAGCAACTGGATCTCCTGACCACTGAACCCATGAAAGCAAAACGTCTGGGACCCAGCTGGAAACGCTTGACTGGAAAATGATCCAGATACCCCACCCCAAAATACAAACATGTGAACCTGGCAGAATGCAGATCTGTCATAGCAAACATTGTGGAACGAGTGGGATACCACATTGCCTCAGAACACACACCATCAATGCAGGCTAATGTGAAGATAAGCAATAGAGACTGATCGCTAATGTCAAATAAGACTTGTCTATTGCGGCAAATCTGGTAGGAAACACCGACCATACTGAAACATCTGTAAATATTTATTGTATTATTTGGGCTATCCTTGATTAATATGTCTATAATTTTGGAGTAAAAATATTTAAACTAATGAAAAATGGTGTTTCTTCTCATTCATTATATAAGTAATATAAAGAAGCTTTTACTTATATCAATAAAATTAGACAAACAATAGAGGAAAGCACTCAATAATATAAACCAATATCCTCAACTTTATTGTGGAGTAGTGTAATAATGGTGGATCCGACTTCCATGGAGCAAGTTCGGGACTAATAACGTTGGTATTGCCAAGCGTTTAAAAAACAAAGCATATTACATGAATGTGACTTCATGTGAAGAGGGGGAGGAGTTAGATGTTTAGGGCTTTAGAGACTCATCATAGTAGATTGCAAGCATTACGCTAACTAGTACACATCTATTATCATCTACTGTATAATGCAATTCATCTGATTCCTCTTCCATAAAATCAGTTACACATGAATGTTTATCTACCATGACTCACATACCCTTAATTACCAAAACCAAGATTTTTTGTTAAACAGTGAAATTTATATGACTATATTTTCAAATCACTCTATTCAGATTAACAAAGTATACCTGAATTGATTTCTATTTTAACTAATTTATTTGAAGCTGAAGTTCTTCCAGACGAGCTTTGCTGATGGATCGTGGTACCACTGGCGTTATGTATCTATAATATATTGGAGGGGAAGGAAGATAACTTTCTTTTGCACAACCACACGATTATATTTCCTCAGTCGCTGCGCCCTGCTGGCCAACGTTATCGCCCGAAGACCTTTTTTGCCGCCATTGACTGGCCTGAATGGAACTTTAGGTTTTGAACAGACCTAGCAACCTGGAGGGACAAAAAGCAAAACTATAAGAATCAAAGATTAAAACACCAAGAGAAAAAGCACACAATGTTTTTTCTTGCCTATAAAAAATGTATTGCTTCATTATTTCTAAAATTGTGAACTGAACACAAACAAAAAAATATCCAAGGAATGAGTACTAGTCTGGTCCAAGAATGGGGAATCCGAAATTGCGGTTCAGCTTGAGCATCACGAAATGCACCAAGTTATCAGTTTCATTTTATTAATGCCACGCATGTTCTTTTCTGACAGCAAGTGCATTGGCAAACGATGACTTTAAAACTCTGAGAGGCAAGAAACGATCCAAAATATGGTCTAAGTTTCCACAAGAAACTCAAACTACTATAACCTACTTTTTTGTCTTTTAACAGACTGCTGATGCGAAACTTTGCCTCAGTCTACTTCTCTCTTCCACACGTTAATTGATCAGAATTCATTAAGGTCTTGCACTCAGCTAATAAGCAGAAATTCCAATAATGGTATCAAGTATCCATAAATCCATCCATTATGTCAGGCCCAATGTTGCTCAGCTTAGCACATAAAGGCTTGGAAGCGATGGGGAACAGCTTAGTCTGGCTTCAGAGGTTCAAAAGATACACTAGCAGCACCTTAAAGATTAGATTAATACAAAGGAAGATCCTGCTTGCTTATTTTTACAAATGAGCAAAGTTAAATCTTGTGGCTTTTGGGGGACTGTTTTTCTGCTCTATCCATTCAGTCAAAACTAGTCTGGGGGCTACTGTGAAAGCCTCCCTGCTCCACTAAATTGAAAGAACCTTTATTAAGCATCACTGGGTAAACACCCTGTGGTTTCAACCTACCTATTCTTATGTCAAAAAATGGCTTGCTGTGAGACAAAGGTCTATTTAAAGACTGGTTATTGAAAAAAGGTGTAGGATTTAGTGGCCATCTGCAAGTGTAAATGCAGAGAGATATTCCATTTCTGACAGTAGATCCTCCTAAATGTTACACACTGGTCCTTTTAGACCATTATGAATAAAATGTAAGACTATTTTATGCCTAAGGATTGTGATATTTGTGTTGTGTTTATGTTTAAGGATATGAAGGAAAATCTGTATTGGTTTCATTTCAGTTTGGTTTTGTAGTTGATCAATACAAATTCTGAAAAAAACACACACTAACTTCATTAATCCAATCAAATTTTAAGACCTGTCAAAATCATAAATACATTTTAAAAAGGCCTAAAAATCAGATCTTTGGATTTTAGACTTTTTAAGACCCCGCCGACCACCTGGGTAGGCTGACACAACCCTCCTCCACGGTCTATTTGTAAAGAAACTGGGAATTCTTCTGTTAAAGGCTAGAAGATTCAACCAAAAATGTGCAAAATGTTGGATGTCACTCTGGCTCAAACCCACCTTTGATCTCAGCACAGCTGATTTCTCATCTGCTTCTGGCCAGTATGAGGGAATCAAATTAATTTCCTGAGGAAGCACATGAAAAGACATGTAAGAACATAGCCTTCTGCACACCCACACATGTGCCATGAAACTCAGATGATGGTGTATGTGTGAAGGCTGACCCAACCACAAGGGATGTACAAGTATTTATAAAGGCGGTGAAGATTTGTGCAAACGTACAGACGTAGCATCCCCCTGGTAGGAGGAAGGGAAGCTGTAGGTGGGGGCTTCTTCTTTGCGGCAGGAAGTGAGGTAAGGCTGGGACTGGGTGAAGTAGGCGCTATCCTGGGAGTCTGGGACATCATCCTTGTCCTCTGGGTTTCCGTCAGTAGAGGATGGACGTGGGGGTGACCTGTCTCCAGGGGATCTGTGTGTCTTTGTAGAAGAGGAAGCAGTCTCCTTCTTATACTGAAACTGCTGCAGGTCAGCCAGGCCTGAAGTGGACTTGGGCTGTCTTGATCGTTCAGTTGAGGTGGAGCTGCCTGACCAGTCAAACAGCCTGAGGCCGTGACTGGCTGAACTGGGAGATGTTTTGCTTGCTGATGGAGGCGGACTCGGGGTGTCCACAGATGGAACATCGGGACTATCGCTGTCATTGGTCTGGGTGCTGGAAGAATTGTCCTGAGTGTGACTCCCAGCTCTGGGCTCCACATGCTGAGGTAAATCCTCCTGAGTAGACTCCTTAGGGATCGGACTGGATGCTAAACTGGAACTGCTGAAGAATCTACAGGTAGGAATAAACACCATCAGGAAGCTGTACAGTGTTAACCTTACTGCTTGTTAAGGCTGTTTGAATATATATGTATGTTGATTTAATCACAATCAATCATATGTTTAGAAAAGCCCCCAAATTAAGATATTTGAACTCAAAAACATGACATTGTGTGTGTATTGTGTATTATGGGTAGAAATATCTAAAGGCAGCATTAGAAATCAACAAATCTTTAGACATTTTTCCAAATACATAAGGCCATTGCTTAGCCTAAAAAATATCAGATGAATTATATGCGTTAATTTACTTTCAACGTGTTATTTTAAAAATTAATCAAACTTTTTTTTTTTTTTTTTTTTAAATTAGATCCACCTCTGATTGTAAAACATTTGCAGGAATGTGTTGCAGAAAATTCAGTGACTTGCACTGTTGCCATCTGGTGCTTCAAGTTTAACTATTGCCACCTTGTGGCACTTTACATTACTACAAAATCCAGTTTGGCCAAGACATTAACACTCACCTCAGACAAACAAACCTCTTCATCACTTTGTCAACAACTGACTAGTTAGTTTAGTCACATGTTAAGTTAAATTAAGTTATCCTTTATTGGTCCTGAAAGGGAAATTCATTCTCTCCATTTGACCCATCTTAAGTACTAGGATCAGCGGGCGCCAACTGCAGATCTGAGCGAGTGCCTTGGTCAAGGTACTGGCTGGACATACATATTTTTGTATATGTTAGGGGAAACATGGAGCACCAAAGGAAACCCACACAAATATGGGGAGAACATGCAATCTCCACGCAGAAAGACCCTGCCCCAGCCAGGAATTAAACCCAGGCAAAATGGTGTTCTATACAGAGTTCTTTTAAATTATCAACTAGTAAAAATCATATAAAACTGAATCATCAACTAATATTGCATTCAAATGTACCAGAGACAACATACTTCTGCATTTTTTATACACACTAGGTGTTAACTGCTTGTGCTGCTTGCCCTACAGTAAACATTTGTATCTAGTAGTCAATAATGCAGAAGGTGATCATTAGATGAGGTTGAATTTCTGTGATGTCACCTGCTGCATGTGGCCTGGCCATCCTCCTCAGCTTCCTGGTTCCTCCTCTGCAGGAGAGTGGCGAAGCGGTTTCGTGAACAGGGCTGCCTAGTTAAAGTTGCCTTGTCTGGCTGCTGGTCTGACCTGACTCGCTTCTGAGTGGAGGCCAAATACTGCTGCAGCACATCCTGGTCTGATATACTAGAGTCTATGGGAGACAAGAAAAAGTACAACCCAGAGTCATAAGAGTGTGCCTTTCCTTTTTTGTTCTATTATCCATTCTGCTTAGTATCATCCTACCTAGTATTTTGCTGCCACAGTGATTCAGTGCCCTCAAAGGGACCAATTATAGTATTAGTATTTAGGACCAATCCTTTAGCGGCACAAACTAAAGCTGGAGTTCTATGGGATCAAACTAGGGCCA